CTATAATAATTACCCAAAATAATATATACTTACTTTTTTCTTTCTCATTTTCATATTTCTAATAACCAGGCATTGTTTCACATGATCAAAAAGCTATGGTTCTACGTCATTTTTTCTATGTATTTTTTCTTGCATTTCTCTTCCTCCTCCTTTTTTCTTGTGGGTTACTCTGTGTGTGTATGTGTAGGTTTGTACGTGCACTTTCCTAATAATATACAGTAAATATTATTCTTTTATGGAGCCAATATGGCGTAGTGGTTTGAGTGTGGGACTGAGACTCTGGAGACCAGGGTTCAATTGCCTGCTCAGCCAATGGGTGATCTTAGGCAAGTCACACTCTCTCAACCTCAGGAAGGCAGTGGCAAACCCCTCTGAACAAATCTTGCCAAGAAAACTTCAAATAGGTTTGACATAGGGTTTCCATAAGTTAAAAAGGACTTGAATGCATACAACAACAGCAGCCTGTGGTATCCTGGCATTTGTAGTTTTACAAGGTCTTCAGTTCTCTCTGCCAAAGAGTGCTGATGCCTCACCAAACTACAGTTCCCAGTATTCTGTAGGATGGAGCCATGGCAGATAAAGTGGTATCAAACTGCATTATTTATACAGGGTAGATGCATCCTTGGACATCATTACAATCAATTTGCAGTCAAAGCCAAAGAGCAGGGGCACAGGCTCCTACTCTGTATTTTTTAACATTTGTTAGCCGCCCCGATTGCGCTCAGAGGGGCAGGGTATAAATAAAAATTATTATTATTATTATTACGCTGTACCGTACTTTGCTATAACCCTTTGGAGAAGCTCTGAGAAATTTGCTCCAGTTAAACAAATGCTCTAACCAAGCAAAACTCTACAGCTGGCTCTTCCCTGCAGAAATAATCCGGGTTGACACCACTTTAACTGCCATGGGTCACTGCTATGGAATTCTGGGGATTGTAGTTTATTCTTGCTCCAGAGCAGAGGTTTGGGTGGGGATGCTACTTTTCTGCTAAAGTTTAGTGACCAAATTAAAGGAAAAAGCACAATGTTTGTGCCATTGCTTAGGATTGCAGTCCCAGTGAGGGCACATGCAGCCAGTGGCCATGAGTTGCCAGTCCCTGATCACATTATCTTTTGCATCAACAAGACTAGTTGCTTGCAAATCTTTCACCCTTCCCTCCCTTCTCTTGCTTGCACTCTGGTCATGTTTTGAGCGGGGTGTGAATTTTCTAACTGTTCAGGGGACACACGGTCCAGCAGATACTTTAAAAAAACAACAACCCACATTTCATCTAGTTTTAAGGTTGAAAACAAATTAATGCTGAGACATGCCCACAAGCTGGAAGATGGAAGGGGGTGGCTTTCTAAGATGGCAAGAGCAGTTGATTTGAAATACTACATAGTGAATTTCTGCAAGAATTTTATATTATTCCATTCCAGTCCTGCTCCAGTGACCCAGTTCCAGACAGAGTAGTTGATCCTTAAGGGTCATCTGCAATATGTCACCATTTTCCTGAAAAATTGGGTCTTATTGCAACCGTTGGCAGGAAAGAGAACACCACAGTGTAATCCTAAATGTCAGCTGCCTTTTCTGACTGGGATGGGGAGGGAGAATCAAACTCTGTCCAGAAACCATTGCCTGACTCGATTTGTTAACAAAATTATACCTGCAATCCATATTTCTCCCCCAGTTTTCCAACAGGAGAGACCTGGGGGCTACGCTTTCCATTTGGCAGAAATTAAATGCATCAGGGAGAGGTGCTCTGTCAGAATTCCTCCAAGGATATAGACCCCACTCCATGTTTCTGACAGCAAATTATATTTGACATTTAATTTAAAACATGAGTGTAAAAACCTCACTGTGGTAATGGGGCTGACAGAAGCATAACATTGAGTCAGCTGGGTTTGTTTCTTTTTTACCACCTCTGCGGGAGTTTTTCTTCCAGGGTCACTGCAAGGCAGAGCTTAGGTTTCTAAATAAAAGACAGGTGCAACAATAGAGCATGTGCTCTGCCGTCTTTGATTGAAAGCATTTCCTTTTAAATTTGCTGTAATTTTATTCTGGCAATTAAGCAAACAGTGTGGGTGCATGCTGTTGTTTTTTAGCTGGCCATCAACCGCAACACAAGAAATGTTTTATGTAGAACAAGTGTGGGTAACTCCATGTCT